GTTAAATGTTATTAGTTTGTAGTTAGTATTTAGAGCCAACCCATGCTCTTTGGAAAGGTGGAAGAGGAGTGCCTTGAACCTCTAAGCTCCTCTGGATTTAACACCTGTTATCACTTTCTTGCAGATTTCTGTGTTACGCAGATCATTTCCTAAACCTAAAATACAATCCTGTGATTTGAAGAGCACTGTTCAGTTGAGAAGTTTCAAAGCTTGCAACTTACCAATACAAAGAATTAAAAAGTCTAGTTGACAAAGTGGTAATTAAAGTGTTTTACCCACAAAACCGTAAAAGGCTCAATACTAAATTAGGCTTTCTGATGAAGGCTGGGAGAAAAGGTGGTAAAACACACCACTGAGCAGCTGTTAGACACAACATTTTATTCAGGGCATTTTATGTTCATTACTCTGAATGCGCAATCAATAATGAAAGTTAATGATTTGAAGTTTTTTGCTAAAATCTTTGTGCTAAATAAATGATCAACAAGCTAACATCTTAATCATCACAGGAAAGAAAACATGTTGAAAACAATAAGAAACTCCTAACTTCTAAGACAATTCTCACTCCCCCAACTCGTTTCAGTTGGTTTCTTCAACATGAGCTATGAGAGCCACAAATACGGTTTCCATCTCTCAAGTGTACTACACCTCAGTCAACACAGCTGACACACCTTTCTTACATTTTCTTCTTCTGAAAAATGTTCAAAATTTGATTTTGAAAGACTCTCTTCGTACAAAAGAACCGTATTAACCAGAAATTCATACAGGACCATTTTTCAGACCACTTACAACACAAGGTAATCTTTCCTTAAATCAAAACTGCAAACAAATATCTGGGCTGTCCCAAGTAAACAAATCAACATTATAGTAATTGTATTCATTATTAACCCACTGACCAGTTACTTTTACCTCAGACACGTTCAACTCAGGGCTAAAATTACGAGACCACAAAGTTAATCAATCATCGACATTCTTAACCTCCAAAAGAAACCGACAAAGACACTTAAAATTTTTCTAATCTAAAAGTATAAACCAGACTTAGCAATAACAAATATAGTTAGGCTATTTTATCTGCTACATCATTTGCCAATACAAACTGTTCTTTTGAAAAGGAAAAACTATTGGTGCACAAGCACTAACCTCAACATCTGTTCTGTTCCATTAGACCACCGCTGCAAAACCCCAAACAAATATTTTATACTCACAACAGTTCTCCAAAACCGAACTATCCCACAATACAACGAGGAACTGGAGAAGGAGAAGTTTCTTTGGGTTAATCACAACACACAACAGACACCAATCCATTTTTGTTTGTTTGTTTGACCTAAGCAGAAGGAAAACCAATAGCTAAATCTTGAAACCATTATCATCTTGGAGCACTGGCAAACAGAGAACAGGTTTGCCATTCCAGTAATGCTATGCTTCTGAACAACGTCAACCTCCCATCCATAGGACCATTCCCCAGCCATAGCAGATTTTATTTTTACAGATCAGCTTTTTGGTTTTTATTTTGTTTTTTGTTCTCACCTTACATTCTGACCAAGAAATGAGGCACAGAGAATTCAGTGCTGATGAGCATCAACTGATGATTTATATAGAAATGACAGTATAACCAATCTCTGCTCTGCAAAAAAAGCAGCTTAAGTAAAAACATTCTAAGAAGTATTTCCTACAAATATTCCATAAAAGTAAGCATAATTAAACTGTTTAAATTATACACAATAGTCATAAACATCCTCTTACCTGAGTGCATAGTCAAGTCCATTCTTTGTGGCTGATACATCAACGGACTGTCTTCACTTAATGGAAGAACACACTTCTGAACAAATCTCTTTCTTGCAGTTTGATTATGAATTTTTTGAGGAGAAATAGCAGAATTCCTTTCTTCTCCCATCCTTTTATTTTTAAGCAGTTCTATCAGTGTAAGAGACTGATTCTTTTTTCCACTGGGCAGTTCTGGTTTTGTTTCATCATATTCATTTAAGAAACTCAGCCCTTCCTCTTCTGATGCAGACACTGATAAAGCTTCAGTCTTTAGGCCATTACGGTATGCTTCAAGAGGTATAACATTTTGAGATAGAAAGTCATCACTTGATGCAAGTTTTTGAGCTACAAATGGTCTGGGAATAATACGACGACTGTTCAATGCTTTTAAGATTTTTTCATATTTTTCTTCATTTTGCATCATTTCATTCAAAACACAGATTGGAGATTTATGAGCATCCCATTTGGTCTTTCCAAGTCTTTTCAGATGGCCTCTAACATGATTCGATAATCCAATTTTAGTATCAAACCAACCACCACAGAGCTGACAAGTGTGTTCAGAAGTGGTTTCAGACTTCTCTATAGCTAAAAAAAAATTTTTTAAGAGTAACATCAGAATTTTTTGTAAAGTGATCATCTTAAAGCCAATTAACTCTGAAAAATAAAATTATTTTTTCTTTTTTCTAATAAAGACCAAATTTGAACAAAACCTTCAAATTCTTTCAATCTGAATAGACATAGTAACCCAAATTATCCACGTGGAAACTTACCTTTTCTAACTCGCTTAACAGGTGTCCCTGTGCCAGTTCTTTTGAAATGCTGCATTTTGTCGCTTGTGGCTATTTGTTCCGGTGATACAACATGACGGGCTTCATAACTTAATCCAGCTCTGTGAAGATGTCCTCGAACATGATTTGATAACCCAACACCTGTTTCAAATGTTGCTGGGCAGTAAGGACATGATTTCTTCTCAAGAGACAGATCAGTCCAGTGAAAAACAGAACTATGCTTTGACAATGAAGTTTCTGCATTTTCTAAATGCTGAGGATCATGTATCTCATGCAAAAAGTTATTAGTTCCAGCATCTTCATAATATTCAAAATAAAAGCCATCATTCTGGTCATAACTAAGAGTAGCATTTTCTCCAGGCTCTTGACCTTCTACCTTGCTTTTAAAAAGCGGGAATAAGTTTACATGTTCTTGATTAATATCATTATAGGTTTCATCTTCTATGGCCTGTGTAGTGTAGTCACCTAGCTCAACATTATCCCAGGAACTTTCATCTTCTGTTTCATAGCTATCTTTCTTTTCAGCAGAATTAAGTTTTTGCAAAACAACAACAGTCATTTTATGCAAGAAATCTGGATAGCTATCCAAGTCTTCTCCTCCAACAGAACTTTCCTTCTTGGATTCCTTAACTACTCTCTTTACAGCTACACGCCTGTGTTCTCTGAAGCTTTCTGGCCTTTTCGTGTCAGAGTTTTGAGGGTCTGAAATAAAACTATTGTTGTGAGAATTACTTGATGATGAGAACAGATGTAAAGAGTTTAGTGAACTGGCTTCTTCTTTTTTGAAATGTAGAGGATATGATTCACCTGATTTTTTGATCATTCTGTAGTTTTCATATTTGTGTCTATATAAATAGTTGCTATTCGCCTTGGCATTAGATTTTTCTTTTGCTGCTTGATGGAAATACCTAGGTTTTTGGTCAGTGCTGCTTTTAATCATAACAGTCTTGTGAGAATTGTTTTGATTGCACACATTTACACCTGACTGGGCAATGCTTTTCCGAGCTTTTTGTACTCTGTGTGGCCGCTTATGGAATTTGGAAAAATTACCTGATTGTGAGGATGATCCAAATGTTCGCTTTACATCTTGTTTTAAAGCAGAGTTCTTTGGAAATGTGGTTGACTGTTGTTTAATTAAAGGTTTAGTGCTATCAATATCTATAGGTTCTTCAAGAATGTCACTTTTTCTTTTATCAAGTCCAAGTGGACTACCATATGAATCAACACATGATGATGAATGCAAGTACTCCATGTGTTTTTTTAAAATACTTCTGGCTGAAGTCGTAAAAGGACACATCTTACATATGTAGGTAGCTGATTTTTTGGATGATCCTATAACAGAGTCTTTCATGAAAGTCTTTTTTTGCGTTTTTCTCTGGGCTATATCAGAACTGACAATAGGGCATTTTACCACCGCTCCATGGGCAATGCCTCGATGGCATTCTAATTCATTTTCTGTCACTGCCATGAAGTTACACTCTTCACAGCAGTAGTACCTTTTATCTTTTTCATGGGTTTTAGCATGCTGCACAAATGTTTTAGGGCAATTGGTACCAAACACACACTGAGGGCACTGTAATCGTGCACTTCTTCCTTCATCCTGAAGTTCTTTCAATTCGCGAATTTCCTCCATCAACTTCTGTCTTCTTTCTTGGTGAATAATCATATGCTTTAGAAGTGAGTTACGATCTCGAAATGTCCGTCCACATTCTCTACAAGCATATGGCCTTGGGACATTAAGATGACGAAAGTGGCTATTCCCATCTAAATGATACATCATATGCCTGTGGAGGTGCTTCTTCTCCCTAAAATTCACATTGCACTTTGTACAGGGGTAAAATGATGGCTCTTCGGTGCTGAAAGTAGCAGGTGACTCGGAATCACTTTCTTCACATTTCTTTTTTAAGGTATTAGAAAGAAAAGTGCTAGTATGAACGGGTGAACTGTCTTCGCCACACTTATCTGGGTTATAAATTAGATGCTGAAAAGCATCCACAGATTCCAAGTCTTCATCAGTTGATTCAGGCTTCACTTTTGATAATGCATATTTCTGTGAGTCTATTGCTTGTAGTTCTTCATTCTGTTCTAGAAAGTCTACTTCTAGCATTTTTGACTTATTGGGTACACAATTTGAATCACTAAAGCAATCTTCAGTGTAACGAGTTATCTTGCTTACATCCATTTTCCGCTTTCTCTTTTTTTCTAGACCTACTTTGGAGTGAACTGGAGCTTTATCCGCTGTGTCTTCATTAGTCATAAGAAACTGAATGAACTCTTTTTGGGGATCCCAGTTTGTCTCATTTTCTGACCTAAATTCATCTGTACCTGAGGAGATTCCTGTTAATGTATCGACACAATCATCTTTTACCAATAAATCATCACTATCCTCACCCACCTCTACTTGGTTTATTAAAGTGCTATCTGACTTTATACTACTCCCTACTGAATTCTGAATGTCACAACCAACGGAAGCAGAGGTAGGTAGTTTTTTAATGGAATGGGTTGGATTCTTAGCATGTGCTACATCTGATAACAAAAATAAAACTTGGTGTTGATTTGCTTTCTGTGGTGTAGATAGCTGAAGATCAGGTGCCACCTTCAAAGCTGAACAAGATTCTGTTGTTGGCTGATCCACAGGTTGTCCAGTGGTTAATGAAACACTGCCTTTATTCATACTGGAAGTCTTAGCTAAGGAGGAGTGTGAAACTGGTCCATTAACAGCAGCTCCTTTAGGCAAGATAAAGTTTTCACTAGAAACAGTAGGAGCACCAGCATGTATAAATAGAGTAGACTGGCCTCCACTTAAGGCTTTTTCAGATTTGTCCTTTGACAGTTCTTCAGGCAGAGTGAGTGTATTATTTTTCTGAAATGATGTCTGACAATCTTTTGGTTTATGAACTCCACTCTCTTTGTCTGAGATAAAACTGTTGTTATCTAGGAGTTCTTCTTTAGCACCAGTAATATCGGTGTTTATCTTCAAATCATCCATATTGTTGGCAAGCCCATTTAACACATTTAGTCTAGAAAATGGAAGAAAAAAAATTTAGATTTGCATGAAAAAAAATTCTAGTAGAATGTATGGAGAGTTCAAAGTACACATTTTTATTAGCATAATTCCATTCTTTTTATGTGGAGGTCCTAATAATTTTCCAAGAATGAAGAAAAACTTTAAAAAAGGTTAGGTTGATTTTTTTCTTTGTGCTAAGCAACAACAACCAATATTGAATATATACAAAACATCTAGAGAAGAGCAATATTAGAAATGGGCACATTATACTGGAACTACCTGTCTCCCTGGTAGGGAGGATGTAAACTCTTTGAGGGCAGGGACTATGCCTAGTCACCTTCATATCTTTAGAAGCTAGCACAGTGCTTGGCAAAGGTGCTCAGGCAGTATTTGGTGAATAAAGGACTAACATGTTGAGTGAATAAAAACATAGCTGTAAAATCAAAGCAAAAGTGTGTAAGAGGAGACAATTTTCTTCCCATGAAACTTAGATACCCCATTCAACTAATGCAAATTCCACCATGGTTCTGACTTCTTGACTCAGCAATTATAGCAAGGCCTTCAAAATATCCAATAATCCTCAAGTACAATTTAAAGAATCTGAAATTTGGCAACCCTAGGTATGAACTATCTGAAGTACTGGCATAAAATTCCATTATTTCTTTTCCTTTTGCACATGGTAGTAAGTACAGTTTATTCATTCTCCAAATATTTATTGAGCCTTTACCATGTGCCAGGAACTGCTCTATTATTCGGAAAACCGCAAACAAGACATGCTAGGTTTCTGCTCTCTTCTTCTCCTTCATAGTACTTAAATTTGTACTTGTATATTACTTGAATGACAAGTAATAATACTATTTTAAGACAGCATGAACTTAATCTGATATTTAGAAATTAAAACATTTTCAATACAGTTCATTATTTTTTTTTTTAATTTTTTTTTTCAACGTTTATTTATTTTTGGGACAGAGAGAGACAGAGCATGAACGGGGGAGGGGCAGAGACAGAGGGAGACACAGAATCGGAAACAGGCTCCAGGCTCTGAGCCATCAGCCCAGAGCCCGACGCGGGGCTCAAACTCACGGACCGCGAGATCGTGACCTGGCTGAAGTCGGACGCTTAACCGACTGCGCCACCCAGGCGCCCCATACAGTTCATTATTTCTAATCTCTTATGGTACCAACTACATGTGCTGTAAAACATTAAGTCTAGTTAAAGAATAAAAGAATTATTTCTAATTACTTTCGTATTTCACAACTGAGAACAAGCGCTTATAACGAGCTTATTCTTTCCACAAGATGTGTTCTTTAATACAACAAATATTATAAATAATACTGCAAATATCTTTTCTTTGGCATTATTATGTATACCAACAATTTTTCTGCCCCTCATAGGTCTCAGAATTCTGTTCTGAGATTGGCAGACATCCACAGCAATAAAAATAGACTTCCAATAAGATCATATTCAATGCTATCACCCCAAAATGGTGCTAATGCAGCACCCAGCAGGAGTCTCTACATCACATACACAGAAGTTAAAAATGGGCAGCACATAAACATGTGTTAGGGAAGAGTGTGTAAATGTCAATGAAAAGAAAAGCAAATCTTGATGCTATACTATTACCCATTCCTGACATTTCTCATTAAACTACATAAAAAGGTAAAATGTCCAAATAGGAACGATCTCATAAATCTGAAATGGACAACAGAATTTTTAAAAAACTAGCCTGAAAGACACTTAGTGTTCCTACTTATTATAATCACAGGGGTAGACAAATATATGCTCAGTCAATTTGAAAGCCTATATTAGCTTTTCTCAACAGGAAGCAATGTTGCTAACGAAGTGGTAAATTCAGTGTTAATGAGTGGCTTCACTGTTACCACCTCAGAGGTACAACCTTCTATGTTCCATGTTCCACCCATCTGTTCTGGTGTTAGAGGTTCAGAGATGGAACAGACGCTTCCCATTTAAAGCAACTTCATTGGTACCCCCTGAACAGCAGGGTGACAAACTATGAGAATATCATGTCTGCTTGGAGACTGCATTCTCATTACCAGAATGGCCTTAATATGAGCCTTCCATAAGTTCACATTCTAAAGATACCAAACTGTTTTGCCACAAAAACACAGGAAGAATATATGTATGTGATATATCTTCTATCTCTAAACACATCTAGTGGAAGGAAAAAAACCAAAAGATCAGATATTGTTAAAATATAAAATGAAGACTTTAACAAAGTTTTCCTTTACACCTAAAGAAATATGCCTAACGTGTCCCCAAATTAATGATCTCTCTACTCAAAAACAGAGGTTGTTCTTTTTTCAGAAAATTTCTTTTTAGCACATTGATATTAAAAAATCTACTCCATCAGTTTAAAAAATACGCTATAAGAAACTGTTTCAGTAAGCTAGTGTTTTAGCAATAATAAAAAAATTTTCCTGGTTTAATTTTCAGAATATATCTTAACCAAAACATGTTCCAAGTACATTTTTTCTTAACAATATTCTAAAATCATAGCTGTTGCATTGAGATATAATGTAGAACGCTGAATCATCAAAATCTGTTACAGTGAATAATGGATCTAGAATTTTGACACCAAAATTTATTTCCCTACATTCACGGATGGTTATGTGGCATCTAGGCAAGAAAGCATTTGACCAATAACCTAATTTCACACTGTTTCAAAGTTCTTCCAACTATCTTTATATAGTCAAATATATGTAACAGAGCCATCAACACCAGTTTATGTTAATGTAACTAAGTAGGGGACACATTTGAAGGTAGACATCATTCATAAAGTTCAAAAAAGGGAAGCTAATAAATTAAAATAATCAAACTAATGTTATATTGTTTGGACTCCTCAAATTTCAGTGAATTTGCTATTATCAAATAGGATATTTTAATAAAATGCTTAGACACTATTACTATGTCCTCCTCCATGTCATCATATAACCACAGAATTTTTCTTTTAAATGAATTTTAAAATGTTCTTGAAAAAAATTCACACACTTATAAAAAGCTGCAAATGGAACTTTAAATCTACATAAAACATATTTCGGTTTCTAGAAAATCATAATGAGTTCTACAGCTATAACTGCCTGTAGTTATACACTGTGAGCATTAAAAAAAAAAACAGTACAAAGGTCAGATCTGTCTTCAAGATGACAGATCATCACTTTTATGCCTCAAGCTAGACTTATTGTCTTAGAAATTTCAAACATCAGTATTTTTGCAAACTATCAGCACTTGCTATAACACCCTCACTACACTACATCTTGAGGTTACTACAGAAGAAATGAGGTGATAATTGCATATTAACATAATTATTCTGTAATCCCTCTAAGCAAGCTTCCTAGGTCACTCAGTAATTCAGATTAGATACAACCTTCCTGTCATCAAATCTATGCTGTCCACTTTCTGTTCATGAATAATTTTTGATAAAATTAGCTTAATTTCATTCTTTTATGTACATTATTAATTGTATTTATTGCAAATAGGTTAATACTTTGTGGGTACTTATTACATAATACCAACCTTTGTCATGTAGTATAATTTCATACAAAGATATAATACGATTTGCCCTCATTCTACATTAGCTCATTAATAGCTATATTACACAGCTATAAATACATTATAATGTTGCCCACTAGCTGAGTTATAGTTAAGATCTGTCAGATTTTCACAAACCCCATGTTCATTTAAATTATCCTTGAGAACACATGACAACTTCAGTTAGTCATATAGGAGACTGGGTCAAGAAGAAAAAAACATTCACAACTGCCATTCTAATTGCAAAAACAAATCTTAATTAACTGAAATACTACATCTACAATTACTGTGATAGTTAAGTCTATATATACCGTACACAATGTTCAAACATATATATATACATCCAAGCCTCACCTAGTATACGATGCAAGTGAAGACAGAGTATACTGTATAACCATACCACCCCAGTAGTATCCTACTCTGGATGTCACTGAGAGGAAACACTAAAAAAATACAGAAATTCATAAGGGTATCCAGCACACCATGCAATGAAATAAAGAGAAAATTTGGTATGCTTAGTCTAATAATTAGTCAATACAATTAATAGTCTTCTAATGTTTGAAGGCATGCCATACAAAAGATGGTATGTTTGAATTATAAAGATACGGATTTCAACTCAAGATTAAGAAAAAACTAAAAACAGGAACCACTCAACAATGCAAAGGGTTGTCTCACACAACAGTGAACTGAATGGCTCAGCAGGTTGGACTATTGTCAAGAACACAGTAGAAGGAACTATGGCACTGGAGATTGGGTAAGATGTTTTCTAACATCCTCTCTGATATCTACTCTATATGTTAAATGCTTGGTTATTATATTATTAACATTTAATGTTATTTGAAATAATGAGCTGAAAATGGGAGTGAAAATTATACTACTGGGACTTTAATTTAAAAAAGATTCTCTAAATCAAAAATTACTTCAAATAATCCTTTGGTTGGGGCTCCTGGGTGGCTCAGTTGGTTAAGCATCTGACTTTGGCTCAGGTCATGATCTCACAGCTCCTGAGTCTGAGCCCCTCGTCAGGCTCTGTGCTGACAACTCCAGAGCCTGGAGCCTATTTTGGATTCTGCCTCCCTCTCTCTCTGCTCTTCCCTTGCGTGCACTTTTGATCCCTCTCAAAAATAAACAAACATTTAAAAAAATTAAAAAAGAATAGAAATAATCCTTTAGTTAACTTGTAGTATGTTGATAAGCTGATTCTTGAACAATGAAAATATGGCACTAAATGACTAACACACAGGCCACAGAGCTATCTGCATCATGAAAACTACATACAAAGGTTTTTTGTATGGGTAATATCCCCCTCAAAAATTTTCAATGAGTTCAAACAAACAGAAAATACATAAATAATGAGCAGAAAAATAAAACAAGAATAAGATACATTCGGCACATAATGCTTTCTTCCAGCAGCATGTGGCCCTGTCATTACTGTCATTACAAACCAAGATCTATATGTGATTT